GGTCTTCTCTGAGGGTCTGGGAACGCCAGTGAACAAAATGCCACGCAACTGAAGGGGCAATCAAGCGATCCTCCTCCCTCCTGTGCCACCACTAGGAAGAAGCCATTTCACCCAGTTCTTCCCCCTTACGGCAGCCTCTCATATTGTGTTGTATTTTTCTCATGAATGTTCGTCAGTGCTCAGAAAGCACTTTCAGAACAAGCAGATTAGAGAAGATCCGTTTCACCACTTCCTTGCATGAGCTTTTCTACATGATCCAACCCGATAACATTTGTGTCTGTCACTACCAATGTTCCCTCTAAGATGTGGAGTCCTGTGAGCAGAAATTCTACTTTGTGAGCTACTGGCATTAAAGTTGTGAGCAGGTAGTTTGGCTGCTGCATAAAATTAGTTTGCTCTGGAGCCATCTTTCCTGAGCTAAGACAAAAATGTGTGAGCCGGAGGCTAAAAAACTGTGAGCTAGCTCACACTAACTCAGCTTAGAGGGAACACTGGTCACTACCTTTTCTTGTCCCAACCTTCTGTCTCTCCTTCAGCCAGAAATGGTCACCAGGATTGTCAAAAGCATTCCTGTAAAGTGTCATCCCAAATCAGTTCCAAGTAAAATTCTGGAATGTCACACTTTTTTGGCTGGAGAAATGGAAGCCAGTGTAGGAATCAAAGAGGAATTTCTTCTTGCCCTTCTCCAGGCAACCCTCACGTCCTTACCTTTCCCTGCTTCTTTCTCTCCTTTCCACCCACCTACCAATCTCCCCTTTATCAGCTATATTTATTATTAACTTCATTTATACACCACTTTTCTCCACAATGGGGACCATTCTCCTCTCCTCCATTTTATCCTCACCACAACCTTGAGAAGTCTGTTAGGCTGAGAATGTGTAACTGGCAGAGTGGGAATTCAAACCTCAGACTCCCAGGTCCTAAACTGTAACCACTGTACAACACTATTTTTGTGGGGTAGCTGCTGCTGGACAGTAGCAAGCAACTGGGCCTGCGTAAGTCATGCAAGTTGCATGATATCAATTTGCCTTGTAGTTGCTGCCAGGCCTGGCTGCAATGAGTCCTCTCTCAAAGGCAAAATTAGCCCTGGAAAGGGCCCTGCCCCTTCTCCTTGCCTTTTACTGACAGCAATCAAGGCTTGAAGGCTGGCAATACTATTAGGGTTTCCTGGCGATACCTTCAATGGCGTATTGCTTCTTTAAACTAGAGGTGTCGCTGCTGTTATTGGAAGAGTTAAGTAGCCACAAATTTGGCAATGCTGAGAATTAGATATATTGATACCCTGCTTTTCTGCCTGATAGGGACTCAAGGTAGCTTAGAACATCCTTCTGCCCTCCACTGTCTCACAACTCGTGAAGTAGCTTAACCTGATAGAATGTGATTGGCCAATGGTCACCAAATGAGCTTTCATGGTATAGGCATGGGGATTCGGACCAGTTCTCTCAGGTTCAGTTTGACACGCTATCTAATATGCCACGCTGGCTCTCAACAGCTAACAGCTTAAAAGGCAATCACTTGATTGCCCCTTCAACTGTGTTGCATCTTGTCCATGAGGGTTCAGAACAGTTAAACTCAGTTTTCATTCACTTTCTAGTTACCATAACTGAATGCATACTATTGCAGACCTAGAATAGGAGTTAGAGTAGGTAAATCAACCATCACTGTTTCACGGGTGATCACAGTTATAAGCTGCCCATTATTTAGTTATAAACTACCCATTATACAGATTAACTCATAAATCCCTGGCCACACACAGGGTGATGGTGGCACCTCAACTTTGGAATGCCCTCCCCCTTCACGTTTGCCTGCTGCCTACTTGAATTCCTTTTAAGTGCCAGGGCAAAACATTTCTCTTTACGCAGGCTTTGAACTAATGAATTTTATCAGTACTATGTCAGACTGCTCTGTTTGTTTTATGCTGCTTTTATGCCCTGGGGTTTTTTATTGAGCTTTTTATGGTCTCGCCTTGTTTTTACAGGCTTCTCTTTTTTATTACTTGTTGGTATTTTATTGTTTAAGATGTGAGCTGCCTTGAGCAAGTTTAAGGAGGCAGAATACAAACTAAATCAATAACAAATGTAAAGCATTTAACAAATCAGCACATGATGTAATTATGGAGTTAGTATGATGTAGTGATGTTAGATTAGAATGAGTGTGACAGAGGGTTAGCAATGAATTTATGGGAGATTTTGGATCAGTCATGCTCTCTTGGACTAATTTACATTACAGGGTTATTGTGGGGATAAAACGAAGAAGGAAAGAACTATGGATAATGCCCTGAACTCTTGGAACTCAGGGATAATGCCCTGAACAGGGTTATTGTGGGGATAAAACGAAGAAGGAAAGAACTATGGATAATGCCCTGAACTCTTGGAGGAATGGCTGGTTAAATATGTAACAGATTGTCTAACTGGGATGGGGTCCACAAGGAACGCGTAACAAACATAGGTTCAAGGACTGCACACCCCACAGAAAATTGTTAATAGCTACTGAAAAACAAAGTTTAAAACTATACATTTTAGTAATTAAATCAGCAACAAATGACAAGTCTAACAAAAGTGCCTACCAGATGAGCTGGAACGACTTCCCATACTGCTGACTTCTTTATCATAGTTGCCATTTTCAAACTGATCCAGTTTTCTTCGTGCTAAGAAAACAGAACACAAGATCCTTGATGCAACACTGATGTTTCAACCCCATGTTAAATCTCACAAAAACTAAGAACGGAGAAAATTTAACCTTGCTGAAGTTGCTTGGTGAGGTCTTTAAGATTTGCTGCATGTTTTCGCTTCTGAGTAGTCAACTCATCTTTCAGTTCATCGGCTAGAGTATTCACGTCCGCTAATGCTTTCTGCTGAGCACTCAGCTCAGTCTGCAGTTTCTCAGCATTGTCTTTGTGATGCTGCTCCTCCTCCTGCAATTTATGTACCTGAATTGATAAAAGTAGACAAAAAATTGTTATTTTAAACATACTTAATTGTGTGCTACTGTGCATAATTCAAAAAGCAATTAAAAAGTGTAATAAATTTAAGAATACATTTTAAATTCCTATTTCACTTAGTGCACTATTACTGTTGGTGTGGACTTTGAAGGGTCACGGAATACAGAGGATTAATGCAGCCACTGTAAGTGAAGTGGAAGACTGGTTTAGCTGTCTTCAGCCAAGTCTTAGGGACATGAGCAGTGCTCAGCAGCACATTCTGCACAAGACAGACACACTTCCCCACAACCAAGGAGATGCTGGTGCTCAGCTTTCAAGTTATTCTACAAGAGGCACTCATTCTCTCTTGTGGAACCACATTTGTGGAATTCCTTCCTGCATCCATTTGCTTGCACCATCAGGTGATTTCTTTTTAATCTACCCAGACTTCTCTGGGTTCTAGAACTGCTTCTTCCAACTACTCTCTAGCTTGTTGATGTAGTTGTATTGCACATATTAACTGTGAAACAGTCTATTTTAAGGTTAATAGTTAATCTTTTTAACATTGTTTTGTATGATTTAATTGTTGGTCTGATTAGTTATTAGGTAACAGCAGAAATGGCATCAATAAGTACTGACATATACAAGTCTGCAACCTGAGCAAAAATACACACTGAATTATCTGATATATATAACTGCCCTAATGCGTTGGTGCCTTCCAGCTCTCCCATTAGCTGTGCTGTGCGCTCCACCAGCCATGGCCCATCAACCGTCAATCAGGAGTACTCGTGTGCCGTTGGCTGGGTGCTGGCTCGCTCCTCTTCCCCGCCCACTGCCACCTCAGCAACTGTTCCCTATCAGAATTAACTGCCAAAATGGCTGTCTCTCCTGACGAAGACACTTCTCCTGCTTGGCTCCTGTGGGACTAACTTTTCCCTCAGTGGCTGTTGCTAAGCAACCAAGCTTTGTTCTCTCAGTAAAAAGGCAAAGGCAGGAGGCCCTTTCTAGGCCTTTGTGAGGAACTCATTGGGGCCAGTCCTGACTAGGGTTGCCAGCTCCAGGTTGGGAAATTCCTGGAGATTTTGTGGTGGAGTCTACGGAAGCCAGGGTTTGGGGAGGGGAGAGACCTCAGCTGAATAGAATGCCACAGAGGCCACGCTCTAAAGCAGTTATTTTCTCCTGGGGAACCGTTGCTGCCATTCTCCACTTTCTTTATCTGCTCTTTCCCATGCATAATCTTATAAACCTCGATCATGTCACCCCTCAGTCGTCTTTTCTCCAAGCTAAAGAGCCCTAAGCGCTTTAACCTTTCCTCATAGGGAAAGTGTTCCAACCCTTTTATCATTCGATCATTATACCCTGCTGAGGTTGCTTCCCTCCTGCTTGGGTCCCCACTGCGGAGAAAGACTACTTTTCCTAGGTAGAGGCTGCAGGTGGTTGTGGGGACATAGAAAGCTGAAGTCAGAGGGGCAGATAAAGGTAGGTTGATGGTTGGCTGGGAAGGATAGGGTTGCCAACTGCAGGTTGGGAAATTCCTGGAGATTTGAGAGGTGGAGCCTGGAGGGTGGGGTTTGAGGAGGGGTGGGACCTCAGACAGGTATAATGCCATAGACTCCACGCTCCAAACCAGCCATTTTCTCCTGGGGAATCATTGTTGCCAATCTCTAGGGGACGGCTGGAGATCACTCAGAATTACAACTGCTCTTCAAATGGCAGAGAAAACAGTAAGCTCTGTGTCATTATATCTTGCTGAGGTCACTACAGCAAATTAATGCTGAATGCCCTAGGCCAGGGTACCCGCTCAAAGCCTCTTTCTAGAGCACGTTGTATTTATTTTCACAACGGGTCTTATTCCTAGTTAACAATAATCAACATTTCAATTTACCAGCTCGTCTCTTGCTTGTCTCACAAGTTCCAGCTGATTCTGTGATTCTCTCTCACTGTAGGTAAGTTTATCAAGCTGCATCTGTAAGGAGTTGGTCTCTGACTGTAGCTGAGCATTCTTACTGGTCAGTTTCTCAGTGAAGACTAATAGCTCAGACTCTCTTTTGCGGCTGCCATCAATATCCTTCTGGAAGTCAGCAATCAGAGAGTTGAGGCTGTCCACTTCTTCCTTCAAGGAAGTAATCTCTTGGTCATCTCTGTGGAATCAAATGGGGACATTCAAGAGGTGAGAAGACTTTAAACTAGGCATTCAAAAATTCATTTTCTGGTTGTTCTACACTCCAGGTCTGTAAGCCACCAAGCTGAACAGAGCTCACTTGCTCTGTTTATTGTGGCCTGCTAGATGCTTGACTTCTGCAGTTACAGGTAGAAAGAAAGAAAAAACAGCTTAATGAGTGCCTGGTGGGGCTACCCTAAATGGTCGAGGAGCTGTGTCCAGCTTGGTAGGGCAAAGTTTGCAGAAGGCTGTTCTACTGCTTGGGGGACATTTACTATTTACTTCACAAATTGTTACTTGCAAAGAGAAATCAAGTGTTGTAGTTCACTGTCTTGATTGCATGTATTTAACTTTAAGTCAGTGCTACTGCACATTTCCTAGAAAAAGCTAAAGCTGCAGTGATGCTTGGAAACAAGTGATATTTGAGGAAATGTGAATGTTGAGTCCTGCAAATCCTAAGGGAGTTAGATAATTGTTGAACCATTGCTACATCTTAGATAATTATCACTTACAAGTGCAATGGGCTGTGTGGGTGGTTTTCTGTTTATAATGTGATGCCTGTATTCAGTGTGCAACACTGAGAAAGTAAAGAATAGTCCTTAAACCCCAGGTCACTCACACCATATGGGAACAAGACTGCAGTCAGATGATTGTATTTCTGTTCTCCACAAGTTAAGATTGTTTTGGATTTTAAAAGGCTGTACTCATGAAGTAAGCCCACTATAATTAGGTGTTGTCAAACTTGGAAAGCAGTTGCATACTCTATTCCTTCCATTCCTTAAAGGAACAGTCAACAGAACCCATCAAGGTGTAAGTAATGGCCTGTATCATATGCAGCATGAGCAGAGCACTGCATAAATGATAACTTTCCTGCCTCCCCTTTCCCATTGCAAACATCTGTACCCACCCCCAACTGATCCTGCTTGGGTCAGTGGACTTACAGGATCATGAAATGGGGACTGGAGGATGCAGTGAGAGGGAAATTGCCCTCTCCTCCTTCCACAAGCAGTTGTGGCTAATATGAGCATCAAGAGCTAGGTCAGTGGTATGCATCCTACCACTTCACTGAGAAAAGTTTGAAGCCTTCCTCCCACCTAAGACGTTCCTTCCACCTAAGGCAGGACACATACCAGTAAGATGGGACAGCAAGGCCCTTCTTATTGTGAGTGATTAAGAGGCGAGAGACAGCCCCATAGCCAGGAAGTTTTTTGTGGTGGGGATTTGGGGGGGGGGCACTGTGGTCCCCAATGTGGTGACATCACTAGTGATGTCACGAATGGGTCTCCTCCGAAGAGAGCCAAAGAGGAGGCAGCCAGGCAGCAGGACAGCAAGTAGCACTTGCTGCCTGACTTCCTCCTCAGCTCTCCAAGCAGGTGCAGGCACAATGAGGTGCTTGGGTGGGCCATTCTCTAATGGCCTGCCCTGGTGCCTCACTGTGTCTGCACCTGTGAGCCAGCTAGCAAGTTGGATCTCTGAGAGCTCTCCAAGACCTCTCGGAAAGCCGACACATGGGCCGGCACAGACACAGAGAGGTGCTGCGGCGGGCCACTAGAGAATGGTTGGCCCCAATGGCTCATTGCGTCTACACCAGCCAGCCAGTGAGTTGGCTCTCTGAGAGCTCTCCAAGAGCCAACTCACTGGCTGGCTGGTGCTGGGGCTCCTCTTAATCGATAGGGGGAACAGCCCCTAAAGCGCCACCACTGGCTATGGCCCTGCAGAGAGATCAGAAAATTGCTGGAGAAAGAATCAGGATGACGGCGCATAGTTAAGAAAGAGGAGGGTGACATGAATACATGAAAGAGGAAGAGGACAATGATGACAAGCCAGTAGATAGGCTGAGATTTAATATGAGTGTCAGGGCAATAGACAATGACAAATTCTTGGTGAGTCACTGACAGGGCAGGAGGAAAAGGATGTACTAAATAATGTTCTAAAATATACCTACTTATTATATTAATTATATTTGTAGTCCACTTTTCCCCCAAGGAGCTTAAGGCAGGATACATAAAGTTATCCCAATTTAACATCTCCAACCTGTGATTGGTTAGACTAAGCAAACTGCACATTGAAAGTACCACATCAAAGGGTAAATACTGTAGCCAGCATTTCACTCTGGTTTTAGAATGTCTACTGAACACTTGCATTCCTTATGCTCAGTACCCTAGGACATTAAAAGCAACTTCAAAGCGTAAGCCTGTAGATTTTAATATTAACATCCTGATTAGTCAAACTATAGCTTCCCCCTTCCAACTTTCATGACCTCAAATTGTCATTACTCTGATATTAAATTAGAAATATTTCCATTGGGTTAAAGTTAGTACTAACCCTAGAAATGTCAAACAACTATGAAAGATAGTTTCAAGATTATAGCATTAAGTTACCTTTATAACATATACAGCAGTGGTTGGATTACACATAGATTCTTTGGCTGCATCAAGAAAAATTACATAAGAACTTCCGGCGGCACGGCGCAGCGACGGGCGGGGCTCGGAACGCTCTGAGACGCCCGATTCTTTTCTGCTCTTTTTGGGGCCTCCCGGAGCTCAGGAGAGCCCCGCCAGATCTCCTGGAGGAAGATTTGGAGCGGGGGGTGCTGTTGTGGCCCCTCCTGTGACTGGCAACGCGGGGGGGGTGTCGACTTCCTACTCCGAAGCAAGAGCGGATTGGAAGCAAGAGCGGATTGTGAATGAGAATTTGGTCGCCATGTTCTCTATAGCTGCTGCCTCCCGTTTTGTTTTTACTTAAATTTGCGTGGACTTTAAAACGAAGCAACATAAACAGAGATTACAGATTTGTAAGAACAGGCGTCTTTAGGTTTAAAGAAGAAGATTTATCCCCAAATTGAATGCTACAAAAGGAAGGGGGGAAAAGCAGCCAGGAAGAAAGAGGGAAGAAGCTAAGCATGGAGTAAAACTTTGGGGGTTTTTTCGGGGCAACATTTGTTATTCTCTTGGGACAGGTTTATTGAGATTGATAAAATGACTGTAGATATGGATGAAAATATGTTAGTTGAGGAGATGACGGTGGAACAATTTCTAAGTGTATTGAAGGAAGGAATACAAAGGGGCATTGAACAAGCACTAGTAAATTTACATGAAGCCCTTACGGTGCCAGAGAGAGCTGAAATTCAAGAACAAGTTGTACAGAGCTCAGAGAGGATTGATGGGTGTAAACAAGAAGAGAAAGGTGCGGGACTGCTATGTTTACTGACATCAAGGCAAAATGAGAAAATGACTAAAAGGAGCCAGCAGAAGAGGGAAAAGATAAGAAGAAAGGTGCAAAGACTTTCGTATGGAAAGAAGAGAAAGACGAGAAGGGAAAGGCAGAGACAATGTATGTGGAAGATTAAAAAGGATAAAATGGCTTGGAAGCATGAATGTGCGGATAATATTGAGGAGAGATTAAAAGTGATGTACCAACTATGTAAAGGGAAAAACCATGTAGACATGCGACTGCGGAAAAAGAAGCTTTAGATCCATAGAAGGCAAATTAAATTATATGAATTGTTATACACATTGTGTCTCTGTCTGATTGTGGAAAAGGGATTGAATAGAGCATCTTGTTGTGAAAAAATGAACTGAATAGATTAGAGCTTAGTAGATATGATTTAAAGGGTGGTGGTATGAATTATTTTAAGTAATGGGGGAAAAAGAAATATGAGATCCATAGAAGGAAAATTAAATTATATGAATTGTTATATACATTGTGTTTCTCTGGCTGATTGTGGGAATAGACTAGAGCATTTTTTTGTGAAAAAATGAATTGAATAGATTAGAGTTTTGTTTGATGAGGGTTAGTAGATATGATTTAAAGGGTGGTGGTATAAATTAATGTAAGTAATGGGGAAACTTTTCTGCATTGTTGGTTTTTTTCTGTCTGTTTGTTATTCTGGCTTTTTTCGTGCTACCTCTAAATATCTTGGGAAAATGTGTAATTTGAAATGAATTAGGTAGGCTGTAAGTATAGAGAAAATAATGGTAAAAATGAAAGGTGTTGGTAGGAAGAAGGAAGTAGTAGTAGCAGAGAAGGTGTTTAAAAATGTGAGGCGAAAAATTAGACAGAAGAGGGGTGTGATTTATAAAATATATAAAAAAGTGCATAAATATATGGACAACTTTAATTGAAATATACGAAGTGGAAAATCCAGGAAAGGAATGGAGAACATACTGCCTATTGGTGAAAGATTAATTATAAGTAGTATATCAGTTATGGTTTGAGGACAATCCTGACTTGTGTAGGGAGGTAAACAAGGAAAATCTTGAAATAATTATTAAAAATAATAAACATAAAATAATAAATAAAAATAAACTAAAGCAATATATGATATATGTCTTCTATAGAGAGTGAAGGGAATTAGTAGGAAGTTTGTTAGTAACCTGTCAAGAGAGAAAAATGTGAATTCAAAATGGTTGTTATATTTAATAATTTATAAAGGAGTGAAGTGACTCTTAACAAATATTAGTATTGGACGTGTGTATTTGAAAATGTTATTATTTAGTGAGTGACTAGAAGGGAAATTTATACTGACTTGGTTGATATGTTGCTATCAAGAATGTATTTAAAGTATAAGTAAATTAACTGGAGTTATATTAAAATATGGTTATGGATATGTGCATGATTGTGAAAACCCAATAAAAATACTTATCGTAAGAAAAATTACATAAGAAAAGAATAACACATTGTAGAGATCCAGCCAATAATGTCAACAAAACCCAACTACCCACTTCATATGCTGCTCCTGAAGCTGATCTATGATTTTCACTCTGTCCAGAAGATTCTGAATTTCAGCCTTCTGGCGATTAATAATTTCTCTGTATTTTGACAATTCATCTTCTGTTCTCAGCCGTTCGTCCTCTAGACACTTGACCTAATAATGAACAGGACATATTACAATAAATGTTATATTTATTCTTTCTGGTAGGTTTCATTAGCAGCTTGCGTCATAAAAAGATTATTGGGACAATCAGATCACTGTCAGGTGGCCTATTTGTCTCTTTTCCTAATCTCATGTTGTCAGCTTGTTCCTAATTTTAGTTCCCCCTGTTGCAATTATCTGGGCACAGGAAGAAATCTGTCCCTTATATATAAAGCTGTAGTGCTGTCCAACGTTTGATGCGCACCAACAGTGTTTGGACGGTGGAACTGCTACTTAGCGTATGTCCACCAATAAGAAATAGAAGCCCGGTCCCCCCCACACCACCACTGCCTGCGAAAATTCACCTCACAAGTCACCAGACGCCATTTTCATTGCAGGATGACAAGGACGACGAGGGCCCTGCCAGATGCCACTTTCTGAGTCAGTGAGGACGAGGACGACGAGGGCCCTGCCAGCCGTCACTTTCTGAGTTGGTGAGCTACGTTCGCCTTGCCCCCCCGTGCCCAGTAGAAGCCCGCCGCCGGCACCTGTAGCCGCTAATCGCCCGCCTTGTCCCCCGCGCCCAGTAGAAGCCCTCCGGCGATGCCTGTAGCCACCGATCGCCCGGCTTGCCCCCCCAGTAGAAGCAGCGCCCCCCAGCTCCCGCCAGTTTCCCCAGGCCCCCACGCTGCATCTCCCGGCCGGCCACCAAGACAGACAGCCGAGAGAAGTACCTCCAGCCACCCCCACCCCCGGCGTCGCTTCTCCCGGCCGCCCGCAAAGATGGATGGCTGGGAGAAGCTCTCAAAAGCCCCTACCCCCCGCGCCCCTTCTCCCAGCCGCCGGCAAAGACAGATGGTTGGGAGAAGCACCTCCAGCCACCCCCCACCCACGGCATCGCTTCTCCCGGCAGCCCGCCAAGACAGATGGCCCCTCTTTCTCTCCCACCCTTCCTTTCTTACCTTCCCTCCTACAGGCTCTCTGGGACTCGCTGCAGTCTGCCTGTCTTTCTTTCACTGAACTCCCCCCTCCCTTCATTTCTTTCACTCTCTATCTCACCCCCCACACTTCCTTTCTTTATCATTCTCTTACTCTCTCCCCACCTCTAACTCTCTGTCTGTCTTTCTTTCTGACTTTCTGTCTCCCTTCCTTCCATCCTTCCTTCCTTCCACCCACAGTCCCTACCTTTGTAGGGCCCATTGTCTTACGCAACAAGGAGCTTTGCTCCCTAGTTTTATATATTTGAGGAAGTGCTGAGACAAAAGCATAACTGGATGTTTCTTTTACAGGTTTTGGATTTCCAAGTTAAAGAAAGAAAACCCACCCTATCTTCATCCCTTGTTAGCTAAAGTTGGATAGATGAGCCAATTTGTTTGGACTCAACTAGCAGACCTTTTGATCAAGTTTCCAAAATTATAAGCACTGTTCAGCACTTCTTACACTGGAACACAGTGCTTTTCTGTTAATACAAAGGGGAGGGATTCCCAGTGATTCCCCCATCCTGTTACAGACTCCAATTTCCTTCTCATACCATTCTACAAGGTCCATGGTCCATCAGAAGCAACATTTGGGGGAGATCAGTAGGCTGTATCGGGGGGAAACTGGAAAATTCTGCTCTACCAATGGATGTGCTTTCTACTAATAGAAAATTTAGGCTGGATCTAATTGATCAATTTTTAACCCCTACAGTTAGCAGCATCATACAGGAAACAAGATATCAGGATAATTTAAGGTTATTGCTTATGATAGTTCTTGGAACCATATATATCATCAGCACAACAACCCTTATAGAACAACTTTATAAATGCTTCTAGAACATAATCCCAGGGAAGGGAGCACGTCATGGACACCCACAATTAGATGAAACTCTTAGGGGTCTTAGAAGTCAATTTTGCAGATATATAAATACAGTATTCAGATGCATGAAAACACATTTACAGGATTAGCTATCCTTGTGTTCGATTTTCCTCATGGCTATAAGAAATGCTCCTTCCTCACCTTTGTTCTTAGTGTTCGCAGCTCATCCATACCCTCTTTAAATGTTCGCTTCACATCTTCAAGTTCTTTTATTTTTGCATGATGTACCTTTAAAGGGGACAATGCAAAACACAGAATTTGGTTTTGAGGAAAATTAGTCCTGTCCCCCTTTTGCTAGACGCAGTAAAAAAATTGTTAACTGGTATGGCGATCTTGGCCTCTTTCCTCCCTCACACACAGTATTTTCCCTTTTTTCCCTTCTTTCTTGCTTGCTGAGCAACCCTATATTTATTTTCTTCTTATTTGTTGGTCTATGGCCAACATAGACCCTCATGTTATTATATTTTTTGAATTTTTATTAATTTACAAACACTAACATATACAAACACAAAAATAGATATTAACATATACAATAATACAATAATCAATGACGATCATATATACGACAGACTGTCACCTTGCATAAACATGTCATCTATAATCTTCTACATACATCATCTACAATATCTAAATCATACATACATAAAACATAAACTACATAGACAAAATGTAAATTACAATAATCTATTTCATACATTTGTAAATCAAAACTTACTTGCATAAAACTTACTTATATATACTCTTAATTTTTCACTTCTGTTTAACTTTGAACTTTCCCTGACTCTTTTTATCATTTTCTGTTTTAACAATTTAATCCTGATTTTCAGCTATATAATTAAAAATACTTTCCATTTTTCTTGAAATTCTGAGATCGGTCTCTTATGTTCTTATGATGTTAATTTTGCCATTGTCACATATTGGCCATTATCACACATTTAATTTATTCTTCCATTCCTTCAGTTCTGGGCATTTTTCTGCCTTCCATTTGGTCACAAACGTTGCCCTTGTCGCTGTCACCATATAGTTAAACAATTCACTGTGTTTTCTTGTGACATTGCTTGGTAGAATATTTAATAGCATACTTTTAGGGTCCACTGCAAACTTAAGTTTTAGTATCTTTTACATTTCTTCATGTATTTCTATTCAATATTTTCTTGCTTTCTTGCATGTCCACCATATATGATAGAATGTTGCGTCTGTGCTCTGATGGCTCCTACACTTCCCGTTATATCCTTTATTAGTTTTTGCAATGTCTTTGGGCATGAGATACAATTTAAAAATATTATTTTATACCAATTCTCCTTTAATATTTGGGGTTTGGTAAATCTGATTTCTTTAGTTCATAGGTTTTCCCACTGTAATCACACTAAATCCAGATAATATGTCGCCAACAAGTAATTGTTTTTGTTTTTTCCACAAGGTCTTTGAAATTTTGAGGAGAGAGGCTCTCTTTTCAGTTTCTGCTTTAATTTGCAAACATAGGTTTCTGAGTTTCACTGACACTTCACGTTTAGAAGGCGGGAATGTATAACAAAGTTCCCCAAATCCTTCTATATATACAGACCACGGATCACTCCTTTTTAAAGTGTTATCTCCCTCCCTTTTCATGGGGCAGGGATTACTTCCCTTCACTAGCTCTGTCCCTTTTAGGCTTGAATGGGGATCTTTTGTGATCCTCTCACTCCTCTTTGCCTCCTTCCCAGTCCTCAGTCAGCGCTAAACTGTCTCTTCTTCAACTGTCAGTTCCCAAATGTCAGTTCTCAGACTCTGTGAGGCATTAACCCTTGCCAGTCAGTCACAACTGGCATGCCACCTAAGTAATTCACCTGTACACTGGGTAAAAGCTCTGTTAACCAGAATATTCTTTTAATGGGCAACTCTCTGTAGATTCCAGTTAACAAAGCTTATAGCTTAGTTAGCATCTGGACCATCCTCACTGTTTCAGGAAAAACTTGCAGTGATATTTAATCCTTGTTAAAGTACAACATCAAAGCAAAGAACAGGCCTTACCTCTAGATGATCAGACCTTTCCTGCAGTTGTTTTTCCAGTTCTCCTTTCGTAAGTCGGAGTTTTACATCCAATTCATTTGATTTAATTTCTTCAGCCTCCTGAAAGCATTGTGGTTTAATGAAAGGAAAAAAAATAGAACCAGTGAGTGAACAAATGACATCTCCAACTTAAATAATGCCCTCCAAATTCCTACACAATAATTCATCCTATCATCTTATACTAATTCATACAGCCCAAAGACATGCATAAGAGATCTATTTACTGTACAAGTTAGTCTGTCATCATCAATTTCCTACCAAATCAAGTTTGAAATCAGACAGTTGCATTTGTATCTGGAAGTATCATGCAAATAGGAAGCTCTCAGGGATGAGAACTGAAAATTGCATAGGTGTGCAGAATTTGAGCACCTCGCTGCAGGAGACAGAGAAGTAATTTTTTCCCCTTCAGATAAGAGAAGCCGTAGAAATATGGTGAATCTATATATCTAATAGCCAAGTTGCCCCCGGAGTGCGGATCGCTAAATCAGCGCTCCGGGGGCACTTGGGGGGGCCGCCGCCGCGCCACCACCACCGCCTCCTCGGAGCCGGGCGGGCGAGGGGAGGACCGGCCTCTCCGCCTCCGCCTCGGAGCCGGGCGGGCGGGGGGAGGACCAGCCTCGCCGCCGCCACCTCCTCGGGGAGATCGAGTGGGGGGAATGGAGGAGCTCTTCTCCCCCCCCCGCGAGTATCGCGGGTCCCCGTCTTGTTTAATACTAATACTGGTGACTTTAAAACTCTTTTCTGCAATCTACATCTCAAGTTATCAATAGGCTGATGGTGGCATCAGACATTACTGCTAAACGGAGAAAGCAGGTATGTGGGAGGGTCAAACTACATGGTAGATGGGAGATTTCCCATTGACTGTTATTGAATGCAGCAGTGGGGAAATTTTGCACGTCTTTTTTCCTGTACTGTTAGCAGCAGCTGATGTGTGTGTGTGTGGGGGGATTTCCACTGAGCAAATTACTTGGGAGGGAAGAGAAATTAACCCTCCCTTATTGCTTCAGCCCCCATTTACATTAGAGAGGAGCACTCCTGTAGCTTTTTTTTAACGAAGAAAATCCAATTATCCAGAATCCACAGAACATGCAGTTTGACCCTCAGTCACACCAATATCTTTTTCCTTGTATAACGTCTGACATTACTGTTCAGCCTGTGAAACGTCACGGGGAACCAGACAGCAGGAAACTTCAGTATTATTAGCTGTCCATCACCTGTACATACACAATCTGACTCTGCCTAAAAGTTAAAATCGATCGAATTTGCACCATCATATTCCATAGATAATAAGGGCAAAACTGTTGCAGTATTTTCAGGTGTCACACCTGTTCTATTATGCAAAAGGCCTCCAGACTGTTTGAGAATGGCTTACATGGAAGAGGGCAATTAGGCTCTGAGGGGGCCTGGATAAGTGTTGTGGCACACCAGTCAGGTTAAGCGGTACATGTCTCAGCATGCTCTGGCCCTTGCATCACTGCACAGACACAGTGACATCACACATGCATGTGATGCTCAATTTCATTAATTTATTTAAAAGATTTATTAGCCACCTTTCCACTTTGTGGAATTCAAGGCAACTTACAAACAATGATAAAATACACATAAAAAGACCACAATTTAAAATATCCATGTAGAACTGCCAATGAATAAAAACTAAATCAAAATGCTGTCCTAAATAAAACTGTCCTTAACTATCTTCTGAAAACTAAAAGTGCAGGGACCAGGAACACCTCTCTGGGGACGCTGCTCCATAACCTCTGGGGCTGCCAGTGAAAAGGCCCCTCTCATGTACCCACCAGATGAGCTCCTTTGATTGATGGGTGTTAAGTAGTGGGGTGCCGCATGGAGAAACAACAGATGACGACGTAGTGCATAGCACGCTTTATTACGAACATAACAAGGACGGGGGACAAACGGCCCGAGGGCCAACTATATACATCCCTGGGGACACAGCTGCAGTATCAGACTCATCTGCTCCCAACCAGCGGTCCAGCCACAGCATTCTGCCCTAGCTACAGTCTCAGAACAATTTTTGAATACAGCGCATTGCAGTCTAGACGTAACTAGAGCATGGATCACTGTGGCTAGATTTGACTGAACCAGGTATGGACACAGCTGACGCAGAAGCCAAAGCGGGGCAAAAGCAAGCCACCGCAGCCACCTGGTTTTCTAAGGTGACTACTCTGTCAAGCAGCACTCCCAAGCTGCAAATCTAGCTTTTCAAGGCAAGTATAACCCCAGTCCAAGGCAGGAAAGATCTCAAGTCTCCAGTCTGCCTTTCTACTAACCCAGACAACTTCTGTCTTGTCAGGATTAAGTTACAGCCTGTTTACCCTCATACAGCCCATTACTAATTCCAAGCACCAGTTTGGGTCATCAATAACACCATTGAAATAGGTGGAAAAGAAAGGTAGAGCTGTGTATCATCAGCATATTGGTGACACCAAAGCCCAGACAACCTGATGACCTCTGCCACTGGCTTCATATAAATATTAAATCGAATGGGGAATGAGATTGAACCCTGCAGAACCCACATGACGGCAGCCATGAGGCAGAGCAGGAAGCCCCCAACACTACCTTCTGAGAATGACCCCCCCAGACAGGACGAACTACCATAACACAGTCCCCCATTACACCGGCACTACCAGCAAACCCTGCCTCTAGTGATGATGGGTGCTCGAGGTCAGAATACATGGACACAGCCCTAGGAAGTAGCAAGTCTCTGAGCAAGTTTTTGCCCATGCCAGAAGATTTTTGTTTTGGGGTTTGTTTTGTTTATCTCAGTATGGGAAAGTATAAAGCCATCTCAGGTGTACAGCCACAAGATATGGTAGGGTGGAGCTTGCAAGGAAAAATAAAACCTGACAATCAATAATATTAAGCTCCTGAGACTTTATGCCTACTTGGTAAGTTTTTATCATTTCTTGGCAGTTCTTTCGTATCTGGTCTGATTCCTCTTTTGCTTGAGTCAATTTTGTTGTTGCCTCTTTAAGCCGATCTTTGGTTTCCTAGGAGGGAAGTAATAGTGGTTAACCATTAGTTAAGTAATGTTCACAGTAAGCTACGCACTATTTTAAAAAATGAAAGAGTCACTGCCCAAGACTTCTTTCAGAAGGGAAAAATACACGGCTGCAATCCTATGCATGTGTAATTTGGAAGTAGATGGTATTGAATATGACTTATTCCTGAGCAAATGTGCATCACTCACATTGTCAGACCGTCACTGTTTTCCCTGCAAGGGACTGAAGGCCAAACTACAAGAGGGAGCAGCTGCAGGTCCATCCCTATAGCTGCCTATACCATTTTAAAAGGAGTTATAGTCCTTAAAAAATTGGTGCAAAGGCCAGATCTGGATTGGATATGTGGTGGCCACAGGACCTCTTGTCGCCCCCCTCCCAAGCTTGTTTTGGCACTTGAAAAGGTGGGTGGGGGGACCTCCATGCATTTCCCTGTTGAATATCTGATTTGTTGCCATTTTTTCTCATGTACAGAAGCAATCTAGTTAGGAACTTCACAGCAGATAGCTTTTCCATTTCACCAAATGCATTTATGTATAACTTTTCATCAGTAGGAGTTCTGACCCAGTTAGGGTATCCCACCCTTTTTTAAAAGACTAGCACTGCACTGCTAAGTGTCAGAAGTTGTCATTTTGGTCCAGTTTCCATCCCCTTCAGCCATTTCCAACTTTTCCTGTACAGAATTAGACTCAGAAGAAAAACATGAAATTAAAACTGCTTAGAAAGAACAGTAGAGCTCCCTCGCTTATGGTCCCATGTGAATCAACTTGACCCACTTTCACAGATTACTCTGAAATCTTGAAAATCCCCATCTGAAAAGAGCCAATTCAGTGTAGTTCAATTTTTTTAAAAGGTGACACAGATATGAATGAGATCTCCAAAACTTCAACATACCAACCTTGTGTAAATCCATTTCAGCCTTCAATTTGTTCTGGGCCCACTTCACTTTAATCACATGAGAATTGATTTCTTCTTTTAATTTTTCGATTTCTCTTGACATTCTGGTGGCTTCACCTTCCTTAAAAAGGACAATTGTAGATTATTAGATCTGAAGTTAAGCCTACTAATTTGACATGGCTAGAGGGACAGAAGCCTATACTAAATAAAAGTTCATTTCCTGTCTTCTGGAAAGAGGAATTAAGCACACAAGAAAATAATTAACTGAACAAAATCATAAAATAATTTGGATTTTTCAGGGGAAGGGGTCTTTGGCAGATTCTGCCTTCGTGTTTCTGTTCTATGCCACTAGAGAAGGATGAAAGAGTCTTTGAAAAGCCCGTCAGCTGATCTGACCTGTTCAGTAGTCAAAAGAGGATGCAGTGGAGAAAGGCATTCGGAATGAAAACTGGCATTTTGGCCAAAGCAGCCTTTACATTTACCTTGCAAAGACACCAAGCAAAGATCTACTTCAAGCCTCAGGTACAAAAATGCAACTAGACAGAAGATTGACATTGCAATACAATGTCAGGGAACTCCAAGGAATTTGTGAATATTTTAAAAATCACCATGAGGGGGCAGTAACAGCCTCATTGTGGAGAAATATGAAATAATTATCTAGTTTGTCTTCAGATCTTGCTTTCCTGCAAGGATTTAGCATATCTTTTTTGCACAATGGTAGAAGAACACCGGTTAAAACTCCTCTTAAGGAATCCGCCTGGGTGTTTTGTTTGTACAGCCTCAGCCAACAAACAAGAGTCAACTATCTAGAAACAAATATTAAAAAAACAAATTCAAAAAAATACCCCAAATACAAATGATAATGAGGACAAGAACATTTACACTTCCTTAACCTTTCTATTTAGCAAGTAAATAATCCAATAGCATTCAGCACCCAAATACCTCGCTTTGCAATTATGGAAAGCTTCTACAGAACCATAGCTGTACTTTTCCTTCCAGTTCATTTCCCTCTTTTTCACAAGAACACTCAGGGCCAAACAATGTGGCAACTGCCACAAGTTGGGCTGCCTGACTTGATTTATAGACTGACATGATGTCAGAGAACTGATGTTCCCAAGTGTGCCAGGCCCCAATTAGGCTCAGGAATGTGGTGTGAGGAAAGGACAGTGGGACAAACAGGGTTGCCACCTTGGCTGTTTCAGCTTGGGAAAACAGCATGGGGGGGGAGGCTGAAGCACTTCTCCCCCCACCCCATGCTCCTGAACCAAATCAGGCCTCAGCGTGCTTGGGAATGTTAGTTCTCCTATGTCAGTAGGTCGAGTTGGGGAACCACAACATGGCTCATAGCAGAAGTTATTGAAGTTTCCACCCTCAAGCCCACTACCTTCCATATTATATTCCATTTCTCATTCAAATTTTAAAAAGCAATGCAAGCCATTTAAGCATTTTAACCATTTTTCGAATCCAAGGTCAAGTGACAGGAATACATAGTCACCAAAAGCGCTGTACCTTGTTTTCAAAGAGCTGATGCAACCGTGCTTTTTCCTGAGAAAGCTGCTTTATTTTATAACTGTGCTTTTCGATTTCTTTATTTGCATCTCTCAGTTTCCTTTCCAGTACTTCCTTTTCCTTACGGAGGTCTAGGGATTCCTTTTCTCCTCTAACATACTTCATAACCATGGCTTCCTTTTCTTGGCGGGCTTCTTCGCATTTCTTATTTGCCTTAAAACATCAAACATTACACATTTACTTTGGGCATTACACATTTACTTTCCCCTAATTTATAAAGCTTACATACGAGCCTACTGCACACACGGCTTCTTAAAATAGAATTGAGGGATCTGAAACTATGACTCAGTTTAGGAGCTAGTTCACCAATAAGACCAAATGATGCACCTTCCTTATCTCACATACTCTGGTTACCTCCCTGTATAAATGGAACATTACATTCCAATTGGCAAACTACAGCAATTCTGTTTTAGAGGACAAGCACAAAGAACATCCAGCCTGGACGTAGTGAGGAACTGTGCTTTGCCTACAGGAAATTTCAGTAATTATCAATTAGTTTCAAATGTTCCATTCTTGAGCAAGATTCTTGAATGGGTAGTGGCTGGACATCTTCAAGAATTCCTGGATGAACAAGATTTCAGGCCTGGTTATGGGACTAAAACAGCCTTGGTTGCCCAGTTGGTGACCTGTGCTGGGAGATGGACAGAGGAAATGTGATTCTGTTGATTCTCCTGGACCTCTCAGCAGCTTTTGATACCATCAGTCATAGTATTCTTCTGGACTGCCTTTCTGGGCTGGGACTGGGAGCCTCCCTAGGGAAACCTGGAGAGCAGGTTGCAGATGTTGGTGCTGGGGAACAGCTGCTCAACTGACTGGCCTTTGGGATCTCATAAGGCTCCATCTTGTCCCCTATGCTTTTCAACGTCTGCATAAAACTGCTGGGTGAGGTCATCCAGAGATTTGGGCAGCAGCATCATCAATATGCAGGTGACACAAGCCTATCTCATGCTTCTGGATGATTTCAGGGAGGCTGTAGAAACTCTGAACAAGTGCCTGGGGACAGTTTTCGAATATCCATTGGGCTAAAAAACTGAAGCTTATTCCCGGCAAGACTATTAGTGATCTAAAGGTCTGACCTGGGACTTAAGGTGTCACCCATTCTGGATGGTGTTGAACTCCTTTTGAAGAAGAAGAGGAGATTGGATTTATTAACACCCCCCCTTCACTTACAATCTCCTTTCCCTTCCTCTCTCCACAACAGACACCCTGTGAGGTAGATGGGGCTGAGAGAGCTCTTTTAAGGACTGCTCTTGAGGGAACAGCTCTGAGAGAACTTGTGACTCACCCAAGGTCACACCAGCAACTGCATGTGGAGGAATGGGGGGATCAAACCCGGTTCTCCCAGATTAGCATCCATGCTCCTAACCAATACACCAGACTGGCTCTAGTTTGCGGCTTTAGTTGGGGCTGCTCTTGGACCCCAGCCTACTGCTGGATAAAGTAGATGGCAGCTATAGCCAGGAGTGCCTTTTACTAGCTTTAACTGGTTAGACAGCTGTAGCCTTTCCTAGGTAGAAAAGATATGGGCGCTGTGGTACATGCCCACTAGTTACATGTAGTTCAGATTAATGGATCAGATTACTACAATGCACTCTGCATGAAGCTGCCCTTGAAGAGTGATTGGAAAACTGAACTGGAATGCTTCAGCCAAGAAGTTGACTGGAGTGGGTTATAGGGGCCATATAACTCCAGTCTTGGCCCCTCTCCACTGGCTCGGCACAATTCATGTTGCTGCTGCTGATCTTTAAAGCCCTATAAGGCTTGGGACCAGCATAACTCAAGGGCTATCTAATCCTTACAAGCCTACCTCAGGGTTATGGAAATCTCTGGAGCCCCTGTTTCAGGTGCCCCCACCTTCCGAGATTAGGCAGGTGACAACCCAGGAAAAGGGCCTTCTTGATCATGACACCAAAACTTTGGAGCACTTTCCTGAGGGAAACTCACTGGTCCCCTTCTGTTGCCACCTTCGGCTAGCAGGTAAAGACAGCGATCCCTCCCTGTTTTTATGGGGGGTTTTGTGTGTGTGTATTTAGCTGGACTTTAATTGTCTGAAGGATATGTATTTGTTTTTAAATGGCTTTTAAGGTACGTTTTTAATCTGTTAGCCACCTTGGTGGCCCTGATGAGGGCAGAAAGCTGGGGACGCAGATTGTGTAAATAAAGTAAAATAATACCAAAGAGGAAAGAAAAGCAGGAATTGTACTGCACAAAGGGAGCATTCAAGACTGAGATTTGGACCACACATAGTTTAGCTGTTGTGTTCAAACCAAGTTATAATTTCCAGTCTTTTAACCTGGCCCTTCACAGAGCCACAGTGGATACCAAACTGGTTTGTGCCCAAAGCAACTTGCAATCTAAAAATAAAACTTAAGAGGAATGGAGGCAGAGAACAAGGAACAAGAACATGAAACCAATTGGTTACAACCCAGAAAAGTAAAATGTTAAGGCCATGCCTTTTTAGGAGGCCCTTATGTGAAACACATAGTTCTAAAACTGAATTTGGAGACGCTACCTCTTCTAGCAAATCAATCTGATGTTGCTTTCCTTGGAAGCTTTGTTAGCTTTCATAGTATATTTGTGTACAGTTTAACCGTGTTACTTGCTCTGTGGTCATGTTTGTAATCTGCTTTGGGCTAATGTGTAAATATGAGATATTAATGTTTTAAATACAATTAATTAATAAACAATTTTACCTGTGGATACTGGCAATAAAACACCCAGGCAATCATTGGTGTACCACACTACCTTTAACAAAGGCTCTAAATCTGTCTTTACTGCTTTACTAATTCTATTCTGAAAGACGTTATTGCTGAAATATGTTCTCTTTTGATAGTAGCCATTATTTAAGTAGTCATTATTTAACAGTCAGATAGTTTTACCATACTATATGACTGCCACACACTATAGTGCAGCAGCATCTGAAGGCTGTTTCTAAGGAGAAACCACAACTTGTTATATAAGAATACATTTCCTGTTAAGATACATAGCAGTTTTCTCCTCCTCATCTCTACTTCCAGAAGAAATTGCTGCTCTATACCAGTAGAACTGCAAGAAGAGGAGCATTTGTCCTACAGCAAACGCATTACAGGTTTGCCTACTGGTCACACAAACACATTTGTTAGCACATTGGGCTGGATTCAATGACACATGAAGAGCTACTCCTGAGGGCTGTAGATCAGAGTGGTATCCAGCATTGAGGAGGTGCATCTTGAAGGTGATCTGGCAGAAATTTCCCTTCCAAGTAACCTCTTACTTCTTTTGTGGAAGAGCTTGCACAAGGGGTGGGGGGGGGGGGGGGATTTCTGCCAATTTCTCCTGAAGTTGCAGTCCCCCACTGCACCCCACTCTGTTACCAAAGTCTCCCTGACCCTCTAGAGTAGCTTTTGTGAGACAGAGAGGAAGAGATCCATTCAATGAACTGGTTCTGCTCATGGTTTATTGGACTCCTACTGACTGACTGTTTTCCAAAGCATGATATAAATACATCATATGGAAATTTTAAAATCACATTTTCATCAGGTATCATAAATGAATCCGGAGTGCAAAATGATTTGCAATAATTTGTTCAGGCCAAAACATATTCAGTGTTCAGCAAAATAACTGTCTCTGTTTCATTTGTATGGCGCCTACTGTCTAAAGGTACCTGATCAGTACGAAAGGCCATCTCTTTGTGAAGTTGCTGGATAGCGTTTTTTGCAGCAGCATCTTGAGATACAAGTTTATCTTTAGAACCTTTAACTTCTTTTTGGAGGTCCTCTATTCTGGCCTCTAACTGAAAAAAAGCAGCAATTAATGAGAGAAATGTCAGCATATATGAGTAAAAATACCAATTTGCAGCTTGAGCAGGTTTTAAAAGTTGTGATATACAGGGGTCATTTTCCGGCAGTAAAGAGCCCAGGGGCAGGCACATGCAACAAGCCCCACCCCCTGCTCCCAGCAGCCCTTAGTCAGAGCAAGACGCAGCCAGGTAAATTGCAGAGCTCCCCCGGCCCCCCGGTCCAAAACAGTCCAGTGGCACCCTTAAGACCAAGTTTTATTCAGGTACAAGTTCTCCCTCCTCTGCGAGGCCAGATCTGCACGTTCCCCCCCCCCCAATAGCGAGCAATCCAAAACAGTCCAGTGGGGCCTGAGCGGTGGGTGTTGCCTTCTGACACACTTCCGGTGATGCCAGGGGGTGTGGCATATGAAAATAAATTATGCTAATGAGTTATGCTAATGAGCTCCTGCACCTCTTTTTCTATGAAATGACTCCTGGTGATATATAAGATAGTGTTACCCTCATAACTAGGGAGAAGTGAAGCATAAGGTCTCTAAAAGTGCAATCCAAAGCAGTAATATTACCTCATATGGAAGATAACCACATAGCACTTTTTCTGCTCCAGCAGCCAAAAGTCAAGCCATTACAATCTGACCTATGTGTAATATATTCATGTCTCTTCCCATTCTCATGGTATATGGAGGTGGGCTACTTTTAAACCAATATGCAGGGGAGAACAGCAGCAAGTCCTGCCCCCTCCATCACCTTACCTCACGCTGCTCCCACAGTTAAAATTAGACACCCTCTCCATCCTTACTTAAAGGAGGAAGAAGAAGAGATTGGATTTATACCCCGCCCTTCACTACCCAAAGGAGTCTCAGAGCGGCTTACAAGCTCCTTTCCCTTCCCCTCCCCACAACAGACTCCCTTTGAGGTAGGTGGGGCTGAGAGAGCTCTGGCAGAAACTGCTCTTTTTCAAGAACAGCTGTGCCAGAACTATGGCTTGCCCAAGGTCAGGTGCAAGTGGAGGAGTGGGGAATCAAACCCGGTTCTCCCAAGTTAGAGTCCTCGCACTTAACCACTACACCAATCTGGAGAAGAGGAGGTTGAGGGGGGGACATGATTGCTCTCTTTAAATATTTGAAGGGCTGTCACTTAGAGAAGGGCAGGGGGCTGTTCCTGTTGGCAGCAGAGGGTAGGATTCTCAATAATGGGTTTAAATTAAGGGTGGGAAGGTATCAGCTGGATATTAGGGAAAACTCTTTTTTTTACAGTAAGAGTTGTTTAATAGTGGAATCAGCTGCCTAGGGAGGTGGTGAGCTCCCCCTTACTGGCAATCTTTAAGCAGCAGCTGGACAAACACTTGTCAGAGATGCCCTAGTTTGGTGTAGTGGTTAAGTGCATGGGCTCTAATCTGGGAGAACTGGGTTTGATTCCCCACACCTCCACTTGCAGTTGCTGGATGACCTTGGGCAAGCCATAGTTCTGTCAGAGCTGTTCTCTCAAGTACAGTTCTGGAAACAGAGGGGAAGGGAAAGAAGTTTGTAAACCGCTTTGAGACTCAGAGTGAATCTGTTCTTCTTCTAGGCTGATCCCGCATTGAGCAGGGAGTTGGACTAGATGGCATGTATGGCCCCTTCCAACTCTGTGATTCTATGATTCTATGTGAAAGGTAAGGCACATGAATAAATACACAGACTCTCCCAGGACATCTAATTTGATCTCAGTGGTTCAGGCCAACAAAATGTCAATAAATGGCTAACACACCTTCAGTCCCAATTCATAGGTAATGCCCTTGTAAGCCGTCCTGAGCCCGCATAGCGGGGAGGGCGGGGTATAAATTGAATAAAATAAATAGGTAAAAATGTAAATAGTAACATTACAATATAATATTCTGTTTGGGAAACAGACCCTCCAGCAGCACATAAAATAATCAACGGAGGAACTTTTCTGCCCATATATGCAAATAAGTATGCATTTTGCCCCTAAGAGACATTAGATTATTTTCCTGCAGGCTGTTATCTCAATTGCTATTTGAGCAATTAATTGAGAAAGTTCAGCACAATATTAAGATTTGGACAATACCAATGTTCGTAACTACAGAAAAAGTGTTATTGGTCTTCATGAAAAAGTAGCATGCAATATCATACACTGGCTCCAAGAACACCTTAAAAACTGAACTAGAAATACAAATATTATTTTGATAAATGCCAGTGAGGTGTTAATAGGCATAATTCTGTACCTGTTTAATAATGCCGAGATGCTGTTTTTCAGTTTCTGTTCTTTTTTTCAGTTCATCTTTTAAGCTGTCCTTTTCAGAACAAATACCCAAAATTAGTTCCTGATGCTTCTTGTTTTCCTTAATTAATCTGCCCATTAAAATAAAAAAAGCATACCGGTTAGTCAAAGCAAAGGTTGTAGGATTAATTAAAAAAAAAAAAAAATAGCTGCCTTGCCAGGATTCTAGATTCTAACAGAGCCAAAGTGCTCGCTGTCTGGGCAGACCACCTTCCATACTGTAGCAGTTTCTTCTGGTGAAAGGATATGCAGACTCTTCTAGAGTGCACACAGTGGTACATGCCGCTCTGACTAGCAGTCTAACTTGCTAGTGGTACTAATGATGCTACTTCCAGACACCAATAGGGGCAGGCAGGGTTAGATGATAGCCCTTAGATAGCAACCTGCCACCCTGAGAATGAGCCCTGAGTTTCAGGGACAAATAGGGACACCATTCCCCAGGTGGGGGTGGGGGATCCCCCCTTTGGCAGGCTCTGGCCCGCTGCCAGCCAGCATCAGAGGCTGTGACATAATTCTGACATTCAGCCCTAACTCCCATAAAGCAATAACGGAAAAGACGTTACATCTTAGGAGCACCACTCAGTTTTAGAACTCTACACAATTTGTAAAATGAAAAACAAAACAAAAACAGAACAGGAACATTTTGAGGCTTAGCTCAGGACTTCCATGAGGCAGCCAAGCGTCATGGAGTCAAGGAATCTGCCATTTGGTCCAGCATTCTCCCCGCTGTTGGGGCAGCCACCAATGCTGCTAGTGGGGCCTTTATGGGGCAGAAAGGCCTATAATGCCCTAGAGCTTCTGACAAGGTGCAATTTGGCCCTGGGATATCCAGTGGGACCAAAGATGGGTTTGTGGGCACAGTTTAGCCTAGGGGAGCATTCCCTAGTTTAGCTGGGGAGTATTCCCTAGCTACCATTGATTCCCCATATGACTCCCGATTCCAATGTTATTGCAAATGACAACATCAGAATCTGAAGCCACATCATGGAGACAGCAGCAGTGTGGGATGTAGCTGACCTGACACCTTAAATACTGGACATCTTATCAGGTCGGCAATATCTGACTGCACACCCCTAATTACAACATCCTGCTTCCAACAGTGCTGAGCCAAATGCTTCAAGGAATCTTTCAAGTAGGACATGAAGGCCTTTCCACAGTGCTCATCCTCAGCAACTAATATTCATGCAGCTTCTGAATGTGATGTCAACATTTTGCTGTCATGGCTACATGCTTACATACTGTTGTAGCTCAGAGGGCACAGCTGAACTGAAGCCCTAGGCAATATGTCTCTCACTTGTTTAACCAACAAACCACAAACACTTCCTATGACACTATGGTCTCAAACTTTGAATTAAAAAAAATAAGCACCACCTTAAGATAAATTAGACATTTAGCTAGAATAAAACCGTTCATTTTTGTTCAAGCAATAATCTGCTAAAATAAAGAATAATCATGTGTTTAACTTGATGACTGTATCCTTATTCTATTTTCAAGAGGGTTTTCTTTGAATTAAAAAAAATAAGCACCACCTTAAGATAAATTAGACATTTAGCTAGAATAAAACCGTTCATTTTTGTTCAAGCAATAATCTGCTAAATAAAGAATAATCATGTGTTTAACTTGATGACTGTATCCTTATTCTATTTTCAAGAGGGTTTTTTGTGTATGCGGATACTTATTTCCACCAACAGGGGACTCACTCTCCTCCAACAGCTTTTCCTACATAGTCAGTAGACTTCCTGGGTTTGTAGAAAAATCCAAAAACTAAAAAAAATCCCTTCAGGGACGGTTGAATTTCCCCCAAGACCTTCTGAAATGGCCTCTGCAGGGATCTGCTTCAGGCATCAACAGTGAGAGATTAGAATGTTTGGGGTAGGACGACAATGCAACTGCTAATCACTGTCAGTTGGCTGGAACAATCGTGTTAACATGAGCACCACCACGACTGAAATAGCACTATCAGACTCAAACTAATGGACATTCTGCAGAGCAACAGAAGTGCAAAGGCCTCTGAGTAGCAGACCTGATGTGATGTTTTATTAGGACCCAATGCATCTTAGATCAATGCTGGCTTGCTAGTAATAGCCGAATTTAGCTTTATTATATATCAAATGTGTAGTTATAGTCCACTTCAGAGAGGTTTAATTCAACCTGTTGTATTGCTTGGAAATAGGATATTTTGCAAAAACATCACCTATTAGCTGAATATGCATGAATGGGGATTTAGAGTTTCTCACCAAGAATACATGACAAATATGTTCCTTTACAGAACCAGTTTGGTGGGGTCAACTAAATTCTCACTGAGTGATTAAAAATATGGCAGAATGAGTTCTGTTTTCGAGCAAGAAAAATAAGGAGGGGATGGGGAAAGGAAACCCAAACAGACATTTCATTAAATAAATTTATTTGTTAAAATAATTTAACTCCAAATACAACTGCTGAGTTTGCATCGAGTTCTATGTACAATTTGATTTTCTTTTTGAAACATTGTGATTTTAAACTGACCCCTTATAAAACTTGCTGTGTTTTTTTTTTCCTCAGTTATCAATTGCAATTGAGCTCGACGATCAACTGTTAAATATCTTTATTCAACTCTTAGGAAATCCCAAATTGTCGACGGGTAAGCCTAGTCTCAAAAACCACACTGCAATCATTTGAAACCCTGATCAAGAACTGACAAGAGGGAGAAATGCACATGAAAATGGACTGGTGTAATGTCATCGACTCCACCATCCAGCCATTTCCTCCACGAGGACCACCATTGCCAGCCTCCAGGTGAGGACTGGAGACCACCCAGAATTACAACTGTTGCCCAGGAGACAGAGATCAGTTCCCCTGGATAAAATGGCTGTTTTGGAGGGTTGAGTCTATGGCATCATACCCTGCTGAGGCTGCTTGCCACCCCAAGCCTCACTGTCCCAAGGCTCCATCCCCAAATCTCCAGGAATTTCCCAACTTGGAGCTGGCAGCCCTAAGGTGAATTGATCTCTGTAGCTGGGAGATCCGTTGTGATTCCCAGACCGCTGCCACTGCTGCTGTGGGGGGAGAGGAAGCAGGTGGGTGGCTAGGAGCACTGCCACCACCACTGCTGCTGCTCTGTGAAGTGGGGGAGGAAGCAGGCAGGAGGCTGGGAGAGTGATAGGGGCAGAAAGAAAGAATGATGGGGTGGGGGCAGAAAGAGAGAGACAGAGTGATGAAGTGAGGTGGCAGAAAAACAAAGAGAAAGATGACAGATCAGAAAGAGAGAGGAAGTCACATGCATGGAGGAGAAATAGTGTGAGAGAGGTAGGGGGTGAGGAGAGGAAGCAAAGGTGTGACAAATGAGATAACCATCCCGCAAGAACTTGCGGGTCTCCACTTGTACCCTATAATACTAAAACCAAGTTAAAAACCTCAGAGGATTTAGGAACTCCAGCCATTTTAATAAAATTCTTATTTGAAGTTGCCCAAGCTTGTTTAGCAGCTGAGGGTGACATTTGGAAAGTTTATGAAGTGAAACTGCTGTTGGCTAAACAGGACCATTAATACCACAGGCCAAGTTTGGTAGATAATCTTTCAAGTTAATCACCTGGAAAAGGTCCAAATCTATATGGGAGAAAAGGGGAAACACTAGTGTGCATTCCACATACAAACAATACTGAATTGACACAACACATCCAGACCAGTGAAAGCAAGTGAAACTGAAATAACTTGTCCCTAATACAATAGATCTGAATGAAAGCCAACTCCTAAATGTCATGTATTTTCCAAAACAATTGCAGCCGCATCACATCTAAAGAGCAAACAAGTGGTAAGGAATGATTTTTCAGAGTCTCCAGTCAGAATATCTTCTGGCAAGGTACATCCACTGGGAAAGTACAAATGTAACAGTGGTGATTCCTGAACCATGGTTAAGAAATCAGGAACCAGTTATGAGATCAGAATCTCCCTCCTTCCATCCTTCACTAACTATGGTTCATTGTTATAGGTATATCAACAGTAATGCGATGACCCCCCAAAAAGGTTCTTTGTTTCAGTGCTGGACTAGAAACAGCCTGCTCACATCAGGTGAGGAAAAAGGAACATGGGCAGGGGCAGAGCACACAATCCTGTTCTTGATGCTGTGACCATGTTAAAAGGAAGACTTGTTATGCTTCGACCAGCTCATAAACTTAAAAGCCACAGCACAACTACTCTTACTTTCCGCATCAAGGGTATCCTCTCTTTGAAGCTGAAGTCTGCCAGGGTTCACAGTAGGATAATTACTCAAGATTAACCAACAGTAATCCAAGGCGACCAAAATGTTTTGTTAGATGTGGAGGCTACTAAATAGCAGGGTTTTAACTGATTTGAGTTAGATCTGCAGCAGACAGTAAAATTAGCACCTTAAGAACTTAAACAAAGCTGCCTGGGAATTCTTCACACCCCAGCCTGACAATAAAGCCTGCTGCAGCTGGGAGACCTTTCCGTAAATTACAAGGGTGCCCTGGAAGGCCGGGGCTGATAGATAGTTCACAGACTTGAATACAGCTCACCTCAGGGCACCAACATTTGACCTGTCTGTCTCAGAAGCATTTTTAAAAGATTACAGTTCTTGGCTATTGGTTCCGATATTGGTTCAGTGAACATCTGTGTCCCAAACATACCAGAAAGATGAAGGGGTAAAATGGAAACGTGGCTACAGGTGGTAGGAAATGAGTGGAATAGCCTGGATTAAAGTTAAATGCAGTGCATCATATAGAAGAAGAAGAAGAAGAGATTGGATTTATACCCCGCCCTTCACTTGGAGTCTCAGAGCGGCTTACAAACTCCTTTCCCTTCCCCTCCCCACAACAGACACCCTGTGAGGTGGGTGGGGCTGAGAGAACTCTGACACAAACTGCTCTTTTTCAAGGACAGCTGTGCCAGAGCTTGTGACTGACCCAAGGTCACATCAGCAGGTGCTAGTGGAGTGGGGACTCAAACCCGGTTCTCCCAGATTAGAGTCCACGCACTTAACCACTACATCAAACTGGCTCTCAGATACAGTCTGGTACTAAATGGCCAAGATGCAAAGGGGGGGGGGGGTGCTTTAGGCAAGGCTATGGATGTGTGCACACACCCAAAGTTATTTTTGGCATAGATCCCAATATTGCACTAATTGAGACTACACTCTGTCCATGTACAGGAGCCCATCAGCAAACTCATAGCTGGCAGAAAGAGGGACTGGGGGGAAGAAGCCACCGTGCTCCTAGAACAGAGTACACCAGCTGTTGGTTATGCTAATGTAACTGGCCTAAGTAGGACAGGACTGCTAATTCACATCCCGCTGCCAGGTTACGTCCCAATGGGACAGATACTGCTGTCAGCCTTTGGGGGAGGGGGAGAAAGATCCAAATGATTCGCATGTGCAATAGATTTTTCAAAATTTTGTTTTAATTCATTTGTACCCTGCCTTTCTCCTCAGTGGGGACCCAAAGCGGCTTACATCATTCTCCTCTCCTCCATTCTCTCCTCACAGCAACCCCTGTGCGGTAGGTTAAGCTGAGAGAGTGTGACTGGCACAAGGTCACCCAGCGAACTTTCACGCAGTGAGATTCCATGGCACCAGTGGGGATTTGAACCTAGTCCAATTCACAGGACATGAGAAGAAACCACTTTTCCAGTTTGGGCAGATAAGCCACAATAGGCTAAACTGTCACCTAGAGACTCCATCTTGTCTACAAGGCAGGGGACAATGGAGAGGAACCCAATGTGGAGATCCAAGGAAAGTTTTGCTGTTGTTGAGAAAGAGACTGATATTTTCTGCTTATGAATCTATATCTGCTGGACTCACACTACATGAACTGTGCACACACATGTATACCCATAGGCATAGAGAAAGCTGCTTGCATTACCTATTGTGAGAGATTTCACATAGAGGACACTTGCCTGCATTTTATGTTAATGAGGTCTGCACACACATTCAGCTCAGAGCCTTATGGGAAAGAGAAGCATATTTCGCCATTGTTAGCAGAAACAACAACCAAGGAGAGGAAATTCCCCATTGCTGTACATGGATCTGATCTGCATCTGAATTGCCATTTCCTGTTGGAAGGTGCCTTGATTGCCTGGGAAAGCGAAGATCTATTTGCACATCAAGGAGGGTCCAGGATGCCAGGACTTCACACCTGACCAAATGGCTTTCCATGAGTTAGAGTTTAGAGTTTCAAATATTGGCCCAACCCCTAGGGTACCTGCCCCTTACTACATGCACCAATGATTGAGGTTATGGGATGGACTTGCAGGTGGGTGGGTTTACAGAATGGCAAGGTTGCCACCCATCTGGAGATTCAACTATAAAAAGCAGGGACCATGTGATGGGTCTTTGCTAGCCGGAAACCCCTTCAACATCCCCTGTCTGCTTTCTACCCCTAAAGTCCAGCTTTCTATCAAACAATCCTTTTGTCTATTTCTGATCTCTTGGTGTGTGCAGCCAAAGAGGTCCACGCTTTGCTGGCTGGTTCTAGCAGGTGTGAATTAGAAACATCCCTAGGTCTTATTTTCTTACCCCTCAATTCTTCATTGCATCAGACAAGGCTTCAGGAAAGATAAGTATGAACGTATACCAACCTACCTCCTAAGTAAAAAAGAAACTATTTTTCTATTTCTGTATTCTAAAGGAACTTGATTGCTTGTGTGAGTGATTCTGTTTTGTGTGTATGCGATTTTGATATTATTCCATAAAAGACAAATTGTTTTGGAAATCACCAGTCTCGTCTCTCTCACTGGGACCTACCTGGAGTGGATTCGGACCTCCGTAAATGTTGGCAAGAACCCATATTAAATTTAGTTGCCATCTGCTGTACATAAAGCAGTTTGGCTAACACTGTAGAGTTTTTCTGTAGAGGAGAGTTTAAAAATAAATAGGGCATGGTTTCCTGTCCTGAAAAACACAAAAGGCTCTACATCTGACAGTAGCATTACAGATAAGATTAAAATTTCAACAGCCAATCCACATACAAAAGAACCTCCTCAGGAAACAGGAAACCTCCTCAGGAAACAATCCATATACAAAAGAACCACCTTAGGAAAGCTCCTCCATTAGCATGTACATAGTCTAGGGAACTCCTACAAGATAAAGACTCAGCCCTACCTCACCTTCTGGAGTAGATATAAATTACCTGCCTACCATTTTCTTCTCACCTGGACACAGAGAGTACTCCATCTTTCTGTGTTACACCTCTGAGGATGCCAGACACAGTTACTGGCGAAACGTCAGGTTCTACAATGCCAAGACCACGGCCACACAACCCAGAAAATCTACAGCAACTAATGAACTCTGGCCGTGAAAGCCTTCGACAACATATAGAGTTAATTAGAGTCAAGATGCATAAGTACACTCTGAAGGAGTGTACATGTACACAAGTCTCTCCGTACAGCTAAGAATAACACATTTGGTAAGACATGTAAGGAGCTGCGGTGGCTCAAGTGGTTAAGATGCTGAACTGCAGGCTGTGGAAGGTCGGTAGTTCAGCAGTTCGAGACAGCATGACGGAGTGAGCTCCCGTCTCTAGTTCCAGCTCCTGCCAACCTAGCAGTTTGAAAGCAAGAAATTGCAAGTAGATAAATAGGTACCACTTCAGTGGGAAGGTAACAGCGTTCTATGCGCCTTGGTGTTTAGTCATGCTGGCCACATGACCACGGAAATGTCTTCAGACAGCGCTGGCTCTTCGGCTTTGAAACGGAGATGAGCACCGCAACCCTAGAGTCGGATTTGACTGGCTTTCGAGTAAGGGAACCTTTACCTTTTTAAGACATGTAAATAGCAGTAAATTGGTATACAGATAATAAAGGAGTTAACAACAGATGTGAGAACTAAGTTTGAGTCCAGCGGCACCTTTAAGACCAACAAAGTTTGAATGCATAAGCGAGCATGAACCTGGAAAACCACACACCCATTTGTACATTAAACTTGTAATGCGTGCATCATCATATGTAAAATGATCAACCTTTTAAATGGAAAGATTTCAGGAGCCATCATGTGTTTGTCCAAAGTAGCATTTCACCCACAATGTATCACTATAGTTACCCAGCACACAGAGCTAACACCATAACACACAAAGAGAAATGCCCATGTATAAAGACCTCCACAGCAACAGGCCCTCATTACTCACTTCTTTATCGTGTGCTCTTGCTGTAGATATTTATCTTGCATGTATTTTTCAAACACAGCCAATGCAACCTCACTCTTGCAGACTCCATTTGGAGGCTTATGATCTCTCAATAAATCCGTCGATAGCAGTTCAGACTCTATCTCTTCTAGCAAAGCCTCCTGAGAGGAAGTACTTTGTATTGTTGAAATAAGGTTCTTGGTACAATCTGTGTCATACGGGCTTTCTGAACAGACCTTGTCAGACCTTTTTATATGATCATACCCTCTGAGCTCATGTAATATGTCTATCAGGGACTGATTTGTGCTGTCCATTTTGGAAAACTGTTGCCCACAGTCTGCGCCAGGTAAGCAGTCTGCTTTCTTGGATCCTTCTATTTGTATTTCAAAGGATTTAGCATGACAATCTCCTCCTCCATTGATTTCTGGTATATACTGTGTATCAACACTGCTCCCGTTTCCATTTGCATCAGTAGCTGCTGAACTGGGATTCGAAATCCTCTGTTTATCATCTGTCCTCAAAGTGCTTTGATCATCTCCAGTGTGTGTAGTGTGCAAACAGTCATAAATTCCAAGAGTGTTGCCAGCTCTCTCAACACCTAATGCACCTTGTTCTTCTGGTAAGTTCTCTTCCATCTTTCCACGCACAATCTGGAAAGAAAATTTTAACTTATTTAGTGCAAGTCTTTAAAAACAGGGTTTATAATAATCTTTATAAATTATGCAACTTTGAGTAATACCGAATCACCATGGGTTAGCTCAGGTAATACATACATTGGCATGGGTTAGCTCAGGAAATTTAACTGTAACCATGAGGTCTAATGATCAGTACTCATGTACACCATCATGCACTGATGCTTTATGTTATTTCATAGTTTAGAATTAGGTCACACCTCTCACTTTCATATAACATGCCTTTCTCACGGGCCTATGAATACCCAGGTTAAGAAATGTATGGTATGAATACAGATATAAAAAGCCTTTTTTGTGCACAGGGAGTAGGGTTCCCAATCTGCATATTGCAAGCAAAATGAAAGCTTTAATGGATTAATCAACAGAAGGATTAATCTCAGATTAAAGTTTAGTGTCTGCCCCTCCCGTCTGCCCTGATTAATCAGTGAGACTGTCAACAAGCAGAGTCTGACTTGGGACTCTTAAAAAACCCGCTGCTGTGCAGGCCATACACACCTCTCTCTCTCTCCTTCTTCAAATACCAATTCAAAAAAGTGTTACAGCCTTCATCTTCAACTGAAATAAAACCTAAGCAGTGTTTATGCATCTCTCTATTAAACCTTTTGTCCTGACTGATTCATCAAATCCCCTGGACCCAAACCCCTGGACCTAGGAACACGAAATTTGGGGAGTGCATTCCTTCCATGTCGTCAGCACCCACTAAGAAGGGATTTTTAGAAATTCGACCCCTAAGGAGGTGAAAAGGGGTAAAATGTTCTGTCGTCTGTGTAATAACATCAGTAATCCAAGACTCCTGACTAGGGGTTTCTCAAAAAAATCGGTATGGCAATACAGTTCGTGAATGTTCACAGGGAGATGGTGCAGGACCTTTCTAGGAGCCATTTTGATACAGTTATGCTGCTGCATGATCTCAACCTGCCCAAACTCTACAATGGCATCAGACTCTGAGTGAAGGCCCTCCACAGGAATGTCATCAAGGCCACATTGCTCACTGGCAGTGCTGGGGGAGGGGGGGAGTCAGTGTTCATACCACCCATACCACTCATACCATCAGATAACCCCTTCGACTACAGGAGGCTGTAATTCCCCCTCAAGGTCTGCTTTTCTATGACCATCAACAAGTCCCAGGGGCGGTTCTACATGGCCTGCTCCAGAGTGAGCTCACCCAGCAGCCTGGTGATCCAGCACCTGAGGACACAACCACCAATGTGGTCTACAAAGAGGTCCTTCAGTAGAGGGGGGGAAAGTTGTACGTATTTCTCTTTTTTTTTTACACTACAATAGTCTCCTTTGTCATTCCTTCAACAATGTTATACTTCGAAATTCAGTTCATTGGTTTTTTCCATCAACACACTTCGCATTATTCAAACACCTTTTTGAAGCTCGGATACTATCTCTCCCTTATATATAAAGCCGTAGTGGGCTCCAACGTTCCAAATGCACACCTTTAGTGTTTGGCCGCAAGAACTGTCAGTCAGAAGACGCTGGCTGGGTTGACTGGCTGCTTTGTGCAGTCCCGCCCAGCGTTTCAAGGTCTTTTGCATATGGAAGCTGATTGGACTTCACTCCATTCCACACCTCAAACTCCCCCCCGCAAGGCAGTTGGAACTGTCAGTTGCATATGGAACCTACTGTATTCTGAGGTAAAGTATGTCCTCACTCACAATACATCACTTCCCCTTCAAAAGAAACAAACCCAATAACACAATCATGCCACATCACAAAGAAGACAGATCACACCACAAGCAGAATACCACAAGGCAAAAAAAGATAGGAAAAGGTGCCAGCAGTCACCCCATTACCGCCACAGAGAGCGCTTCAGAGGATGGTGTGCAGGTCCCAGGTTCATGTTTTAAAAGCTGCCTGGGGGATTATGGACCATTCACACACTTTCAACCTTAACATACCTCATAGGGTAGTTGTGCGGATCATACGGGGGAGAGGATACTGATGTCAGCTGCTTTGGTTCCCACTGCAGGGAAAGACTGCCCTTTCCCTAGGCCGAGGCTGGGGGGGGGGATGTAAACCTGAAGACAGACAGGCAGATAAAGGTAGGCTGATGGTTGCCTGGAAAGGACATAGGGTTGCCAACTCCAGGTTGGAAACTTCCAGTATATTTTAGAGATGAAGCCTGCTGTGGGTGGGGTCTGAGGAGGAGGAGGAAGAGGGGGACCTCAGACAAATACAATGCCATAGACCCCACCCTCCAAACAAGCTGTTGCCAGTCTCCAGGTGACAGCTGGAGAGCTCTTAAAGCTCTGGTGCTAATTCAAAGTGCTGGGGAACACTGTTCCCTCTAAGGTGAGTTAGTGTGAGCTAGCTCACAGTTTTTTAGCTTCCAGCTCACACATTTTTGTCTTAGCTCAGGAAGGATGGCTCCAGGACAAACTAATTTATGCAAAAGCCCAAATCGCTTGCTCACAACTTTAATGCCAGTAGCTCACAAAGTAGAATTTTTGCTTACAAGACTACACGGCTTAGAGGGAACATTGCTGGGGAAGTGTTCAAGGCTCCCGCTAAGCTGTGGAGTCCTGTGAGCAAAAATTCTACACCAAAACAGTCCAAGCAGTAAAGTAGGACATGCAGTCCTGCAGGACTGTGGATCATACCCAGTTAGCTCTGGAAGATGGGAAAGACTAACACACACTTTGCCCAATGCACACAATAACTTTACACAAAAAAACTGAATCACTCATGGCTGCAACATCCATCCTTTGTGGCTGACATCACTTAATGATTTCCTTTCTTCTGGCAACCCTTCCGATTCCAAGAACCTCCAGGAGACTGAGATAGCAGCAAGAAGACACACCATACACGTCACGGAACCAGGTAAGTGGACAAGGCCGGTAAGTGGACAAGGCATCACTTTAACTTTTTCTTTTTACAGGCAACACTTCATATTCCAAGAACTATCAGAACCCCTGGGAAACGGAGACAGCTGTGAGAAGACACACCATACTCATCACAGGACCAGGTAAGTGAACTACACATTGGGACAATGCGCCAGTCCAAGAATCCCATCCTATACTTTTCTGTGCTTGCTTTTCAAATTGATGGTTCTGTGGGCACAAGATCTTTAGCCCAAGAGACCTTATGTCTCACATATACAGACAGACCAGCTTGCAGCATGATGGTGCTGTGGCCACAAGATCCTTAGACACGAGATCCCAGGGACTCACTGCTGCTGTCACTATCCTTGGTGGCTGACATCACTTGCTCCTTTACCTTATACAGACGGCGCCACACATTCAGGGCACCAGAGAATACCACGGGAGACTGAGACCACTGAACAGACACCTTGACCACGTTACAGGGGGCAGGTGAGTGGACCTCCTTCCAGCCTATGCATTTGTTACAAATCACATCTTTCTAGATCTCGTTGTATTGCTTTCACAACGGGCTTTACTGCTAGTGCTATTATATTACAAGACCAATTCAAAAAACCAAAAAGCCCATCCTAAACCACACACACAAAATTTTTCTCCTCCAAAGTATTATAACTGGATTTACAGTAGATAAATATTGTAGCGAAGCACAGGTTTCGAGCTAGTCTTCTCCTATTAATCCTTTGGTACCTTAGCCTTTCCCTTAGGCCCTCCCTCTATTGCTATATTGGTACACACAATCATTGATCCGATGAAGATATTGATCCGATGAAAACATTACATTGGAAACCAGGATGGATATTCTCACAGCATGATCAAGGTCTGAAGTCTCCACTTCACAGACATCAGCGACATGTTAACAAATAAGGAATACTGGTATACAACCACAAAAATCAAACAAAAACCTCTGTTTATATATCTCCTGCTACCGTTTGTGACATCTTTCAATTTAAGGAAAGAACTACAAAACAAACAAAACTCTTCTTTGATTTTAAACATTGTGCTAATCCACGGAGGGGAAGGGGGAAATGGAGGGGAAGAAGGAGCAAGGTAAAGAGGAAGAATTATTCCTTTGTTTTGACATCCTATTTTATCCTTCACCTATGTTTCTTTGCCCTTATCCAAACAAGGAGATCCACCTGCAAAAGCAGCCTTCTGGTTCCAGAACTTCTGAGATACCGGGGCTGCTCATCAAGACATGCACCCACAGAATGTAATGGAGTGAAAAGAGATCACATCCACATTCATACATAGATCTATCCCAGTTCCTGATCCAGCAAGCAATCCATGAAAGAGGATTTCCTTTCTTGGATCATGCTACCTTTGTCCAGCCAGAACTGGAGACAGCTCAAGCAGCAGAGGAACTGTGGCAGATTTTCTCACAGAGAGGGCTTGAGGTTCTGCTGCTACTTCAAGTGCTCTTTTGCTGCAGGAAGTTCCTGGCTCTAGAAGAGATCTATAGCAACAACTACGAAGTAATTGTTTCAGAGGAGAAAGGGAGAGAGCTGGAGCCCTCTCTTTTAGCCTTGAAGCAATAGCAGAGAAGTGTCTTGGTCTCAGCCAAAGATACATTTATCCCCTGAGCTCAGGATACTTAAAGCCCTGCAGAAGGGCCAAGAGGAGGAGAGAATTCCTCCTCTCTTCCTCCATTAGGCTTGAAGTCACACTTGGTTGTAGAACATTCACCTACACCCAGGTTGATTCCTGCACCCATTCTGGTAAACTGCAGAAGTACCACCCAGCTCACCCTTCAAAGGACTCTTTGTGCAGTGTGTGAATTGGGCAATGAGCTTCCCTTTCCCAATCCTCACTGGGACCAAACTGGTTTGCATGCCCTAGAAGAAGCAGACATCACCCCTGCTAGTTTTGGAATGGGAGTTTTTTGTCAAATCCAGATATCAACAAAGTAGTGGGTTCGACTTCTGTTTCCTCCCTCGGCCTTTTCTGGCACTTAGCACATCTTTTTCTTTTACAATTTTACCCTGCCCTTCTGTTCAGTGGACAGTGTTCTCTCTGCTTCCATTTTATCTGCACAAAAAGCCAGGGTGATAAGTTAGGGAGAAGCGCAAAGAT